ATGATGATGATGATGATGATGATGATGATGATGATGATGATGATGATGATGATGATGATGATGATGATGATGATGATGATGATGATGATGTATGATGATGATGATGATGATGATGATGATGTATGATGATGATGATGATGATGATGATGATGATGATGATGATGATGATGATGATGATGATGATGATGATGCTTTTTGTTGTGCTGGAGGGGCTACGCCACCAGTCCCCCAGGCTGGGGGCCGAGAGCGCGCAAACGGTGCGCCACTCACCACGTAGAACTCGAGCTGGATCTTGCCGAGCTTCCTGTTGTTCCACTCTGTCGCCATCTTGGACGTCCCAGGCTGGACGGCCTTCTTTATGCGCGACAGGTTTTGTCTCCCCGTCTGCTTAGGGGATGCCTGCACACTCCTGCGCCAGGTCGCGCATGCTCTCCCTCGCGATGCAGCCGCACCGCTTGCAGTAGTGCAGGCACAGCTCGTCGTGGTACACGCTGTGGTGGCTCGCGTGGATCTTCTGGTGGCCGATCTGCGCCTTGCTCGAGGTCGCGCCGTGCATGCTCGCCTTCGACCTCTCGACAGGCATGCACTCCTCCGCGAGCCATGCGGCCGCCTTGAGGATGGGCACGCGACCTCCACACCTGCTGCACCCGTAGTGCTTGCCATCCACGTCGTACGTGATCACGTGCTTCGTCTCCGCGAGCAGCTTCTCTCGCCGCCTCTTCTGGATGTTAGCCTCTCTCCGCTCCTTCTGCGACGGCCCCGCCGACGGCTCCACCTCGATCGCGGCCTGGAGCGTCGCCAGCCCGCGGGACCGCACAAGGGCGGCGATCCCCTCGGCGAACCCCAGCGTGCGCGCCTGCGCCCTGGGCACCTGCACCCGCTCGATGATGCCGTCGACGAAGTCGTCGGCTAGGACGTTGCCGATGAAGTCGATGGGGTCCACGCCCGCGTCGACCGCATCCTTCGCGCTTATGTGGCTCTCGGTCTTCACGAGGTCGAGCTCCTTCCCCTTGATCAGCTCACGAACCTCGCACCAAAGCCCCACGTGCGTCTTGGCATCTTCCCACGCCGCAGCTTGAGCACCCCCCGCATGACGTACGCCGAGTCGGCCGTGTACCTGATCTTCTGGTACCCGCTGGCGGCTGCGAGTAGCTCCTTCAGCGCCGTGAGCTCGCCCCTGTTGACGCTCTGCCTCCATCCAGCCAATGCGCCCCTGGCGCCTGCCACGAACATCGGCTTGTTCAGCTCCGTCGTCTGCAGGATGACCCAGCCCCGCGCGATCCTCCTCAGCCTTGGGTCCGCCGTGTGCTCGCCTCCCGACGCGCCCCCCGCCGCGAGCAGCCACTCGCTGGGGCCCTGGCCGTCCTCGCTCGGGTGCATGCTGACCTCGCCGAAACGCTCGCACAGGGCGCTCTCGGGCTCTGGCGGCGGACGGACCGCCGTCCACGACTTGGGCAACATGCCTCTGAGCCACAGGCACGGCTGCACATCCTCCTGGCTGCTGGCACGCTCGATGGGGTGCTCCGACTTCTTGCACTCCTCGATGATCTCGTTGCACTTGTGCTTCCACATGCGGTGCAGCCATGTCTCGGGTTCTTCGCCGCAGCGTGGACACATCACGTCTTCGACCTCGATGCCCAGGTCGGCGACCCGCTGCCTCGGCCACACCGCTCCTATGAAAAGGGCGAGCTGCGCCCCCACCTTGTCGTAATCACCCTTCGCCTTGAACTTGCGGATCAGGGCCCTGGCTGAGCGCAAGTCCGCGCCGTCCTCCAGCCCCTTCCCAGCGTAGTGGTTGGCCGCTGCTGACCACTGCCTCCTCTCGATCGCGTCGCTGGGGGCCTGCTTCCGGTCGCTGATGTCCACGTCGCTGTCCAAGCCCGTGGGGTCACTGCCGCCGCCGAACTCCTCGCCAGCGTCCGACACCCAGTGCCGCGGGCCCTTCGGGTCCCAGGCAAGGTTCAGCAGCGTGTTGACCATCGCCCTCGTGACGCCCGCGACCCCCCTTCCAGCGCTTCTTGGGGTCCGTCTCGGTGACCTTCGTCACCGCCCTCGGCCATATGAGCTTCGCCTTCTAGCGCCTCCTGCCGTCGCAGCAGCGCGAAGGCGGCACCGAAAGCGGGGTCCCCCTTCGCGATCTCCACCTGCAGGAGCGTGGTGAGGCACCGCCCTCGCAACTTGGGGGCGGTAACTCCTGCCGGCCTCCTCCTCCACTTCGTGACGTTGCTCGGCGCCATCCCGAAGACCCTGCAGGAGTATGCCGCCCGAGGAAGCGACCCACGCTGGACCACCGCTCGGGCACCTCCCCTCTCTCGGCGGCCGCTGCGTGCCATCCTCAAGCACCGAGCGGCCTGCCGATCCGCATGGGCTGTCCTTTCAGCGTGCTTGCCCTTGCCTCTTGCGATGCTGTGCCCCCCTGTCAATCCCCAGGTCGGGCGCCTGACTCTTGACCTTCGCGGTGATGTTGCGCGAATGCAGCTTCAGCGCAACCTCCTTCGCCACGTCCATGTCGTTCCCGATGAGTGCGGACTTCGTGGACATGGTCAACCGCGCCTTCTTGACACCTGCTGCGAAGTCCACTCCCGCGTTGGCCAGCTGCCTGACCACCTCCCGCCTGGAGCCTTTCATCCTGGTCGTGACGTCGTGCACCCACGACCGCACGTAGACCTGCTCGTACTTCGTGCTCACCTTCTCGAGCACCGCGTACAGCGCCACCCTGCCGAAGTCGATGCCGCGCCTGGCCCCCGCGCAGATGGACCTGTCGGTCGCGATGGGCTCCGCGTACGCCGACCTCTCCCTGATGAGGCGCGTGCTCAGGTGGCTCAGCATCTCCAGGTGCAAAGTGCGAGCTGGGATGCCGAGACGAAGCCTCTCCTCCAGGATGAGGGCGGGCTCCAACGTGTCGTAGAACTCCGCTGCGTCCCACAGGGCGGTGACAGTGTAGACCTGCATGGGCGCCCACTCCAGCACCTCGTCGGCAAAAGAGCGAACAAGAGCCTCCTTCAGAGTGCTGTTGCCCGCCACCGATGCGTCCCACTTCCCCGCAATGTGCGTGACCCACTCGTTGGTGTACTCGCTGCGCATCTGGACCATAGCTTGACTACTTCGGGTAGCAATCCAATCGCACGATCGCCACCCGCATCCTTCCTGAGCAGGCTGACCAGCGTGACCATAAACTGCCATGGCCACGTGCCTACCCTTTCGATCTCCTCGATCAGCTTGCGCGTAGCTCCTCCCTGGCGCTCGGCGGCAGTCACTTGAAGGCCAGTGCGCCCATCTGCTCGATCCCCTTCGCCTTGCTCTTCGCCATCGACTCGATGGCGCTGCTCAGGTCCTCGATCGTGATGGCCGCCCAGCCTTCGTCGGCCGCGGCTTCCCTGGTGATCTCCAGCTTCTCGAGGATGGTCTCGCGGCTGAAGTGGCTCGTCCACTTCTTCTGCCATTGCCTGCCCTTCGCATCCATGTACTAGATCATGTTCGAGGCCGTGACTCCTCCGTCCCTGACCTCGTTGTCGCACCTCGGCTGGTCCCTTGTCTTGCGGTGGGGCTTGCCGCTGCCGGCCGCCTCCTGCTCCTGGACCCAGTTGGTGTACGCAAGCAGCACGTCGCTCACCTCCGCGCGCTTGCCCTTCTTCGCCGTAGCCAGCGCAGCGACGCCCATGGGCCCAAGCTGGTCCATGCGAAGGTCGCCGATGTTGTGGAGGGTCCCCCTCCATCTGCGCTTCTGCTTCGCCGTCGTCTTTATGGTGCCACCAGTCGGGATCGCGCCGCCCAGGGCCTTGCACTCGCCCAGCAGCCTGGTGGCGCGCGACGTGCCCCTCTCACGCCGCTGCAGCTCCAGCGGGTAAGACGCCAGGGCTCCCCACCACCTGATTGACTGGTCGCTGTCCGCTGCCGCAGTAATTCCTCCTCTTGTCGGGGTGCACCTGCAGCGTCGTGACGTAGTACTGCTTGCACGCGTGTATCCAGGCTCCGTACTGTGCACCCAGCTCCTTCGCGGCCCCCTCGTCGAACTGGTATGCTGCAGACTGCTTGACGTAGTCAGGAGGACGCCTCCAAGCAGCGCGGTCCTCCGAAACGGCCTGACTCATCTTGATCTGCCACAGGCTGTCCCGATCGGCAACCTTTAAGTCGAACGCCTCCGCCGAGCGAGGCTTAGCCTTCACCTCCTCGCCCTCGGAGTTCTCGCTGATCTCGTCGTCCTCTATGCTCGACTCGTACTCGCCGAACAAGTCCTCCATTTCGTCTCTGACCCTACACTCCTTGGGCAGCCCTGCGCAACGAACTGGCTTGCGCTTGGAGGCCTCTTTCGGATGCGCTTCCCCTTCTGGAGTCGGGGCCGCACCATCCCCTGCGCTCTGCTCCCCGCGCTCGAGATCCTCCACCTGCTTCTTAGCCTTCTGCCTGCTACGCTTGCTGTTGGGGTCCGCCTTCCTCTTGGGCAGATCGGGTAGCGAAAAGGGCTGCGCGAGCTTGAGGCCCCTCTGGACTGCAATGAGCGGGTCTCCTCGCAGGTGGAGCCGCACTCCGTAATGGTCGCCTGGGTCCACTTGGTCAGACACCACTTCGTCCAAGACCAAACAGAACGTCTCTCAGCATACGGTAGGTTCGCGTCGTGTCGACCAGCGGCGACCCCGCTGCCGGCGTTCAACGTTGAACGCCGCCGTCGACCCAGAATCGGTCGACGCTGAACGAGCTCACGTTTCGGAAACGCCCGATCGTTCAAGGTTGAACGATCCCCGCTGTGTCAGAGACCAACGCCAGGGTCGACAGGACACGAACCTGCCGTACCACGTAGTCCAGCATCCTGGAGGGGCTTCGCGTACAGGTGTAGTCCACGTCCTCAGGCGTCCTGATGGTCGCGTTGAGCACGCCGAGCCAGCCCGTTTGCCGCAATTGACTGGGCTCCGTGTTCCAGTCGCCAATCGCTGCCCAGGGCCCGTCATGACCCCTTGTGATAGCTGCCAACCTAGCAAGCTCACACTGATTCACTTTGCTGCCCACGCCGGCCGATGACGTCAGGTACATGCCCACCACTAGGATAGACTGCCCCCTCCACTGCCAGTTGACTGCGATCATGTCCTCAAAGTCGATAGGCCCAGGACTCCACTCCTTCTCGTCAAGCACCCTCAGCCCGACCAGCTGCTCCTTCTTGGCGGCTAGGTACCGCAATGATGTCACTGAACGATTGGCGCGGGCCGCCAAGCCAACGCCTCCCGCCAGCTCGCTGCGCTGGTGGGCTCGCGAAGGCGACACCACTGCCTTCCAGCCCTTGAAATCCAGGTACTCCAAGATGTCGTTCGTGCCGTCCGCCCCGACGTGCGTCTCGGGGAAGATCACGATGTCGCCCTTGAGCGTGTCGATCTTCCTCTTGAGCCTCGGCCCCCATGTCGACAGGTTCTGCATGAACGTGGAATGGTCGCTAGGAGCCCGTCGCGCCGCGGCTCTTGCCCGTGCCCCTGGCCCTGCACGCTTCGATGGCTGCCGCCAGGTCCTTCTTCTCCCTGGCGGTCCTGGCATCCCGGGTCCCCCGGTCCAGGCCGCGCTGGCTGTCCACCAGGTAGGCCGCCGACGTTGCCCGACTGGCCGCCGCTGGCGGGAGTGCCTGCAGGCTGGGATGGGGCTTTGTCCACAGGCGCTGCGGGTGGTTCACCCCCTGGTGCTGCTCCGTCGACCTTCTTCTTGACTTGGTCCATGAACTCGACCTCCTCTTGCTTGGATGCTTTGAGTGATTCAGCCGCTGCAGCGAAGGCGGCCTTGGCAGCCGCCTTGGCCTGAGTGAAGAACTCCTTCTTGCGCCGCTCGATCTCAGCCGTGTCCTCCTCGCTGATCTCGTCGCTGGCCACTGCGCAGATGTCGCCCAGGTCGACGTCGATCTCCTGATCCTCCATGCGGGCTGCGATCGGTAGCTGTGGCCGCTGAGGTTGTGCTGCTCCTCCCACAGCGCCGCCGCCGAGAGGATGTCGCTGGAGCTCCTCCTTGACCATCGCCTCTGCTGCGACCACATCCGCCGTCCGCTGCTGGAAATCGAGCTCCGCCTGCTGTAGTTCCTCACGGAGCCTCTCTCGCCTGCGGTAGGCCTTCTGGTGGGCTGGCTGGCACTTCTGCACTTGGTCTTCGGCTTGCCGTAGCGCAGCTCTTGAACCAGGTAGCGGCTGCTGCTGTGCTGCAGGTGGTGGTGCAGCTTCGGCGAGGAGATGTTCAATCTTGCTCTTGACCGTGTCGGCCATGGCAGCTGCCCTCTGAAGCAACGGGAGTGTGTTATCTCCTCCCTCCCGCATGGCCTCCGTCGGTATCTGGCTTGTTGCGACGTTTCCCAGCCGAGAGGATTGGCCAACTTCCGTCGCCGCGAACTCCTCCTCCTTGCAAGAAGTTGAAGCTCGCTCCCGCGGGTGGTCCCCCCCCACTGATTGGCGACACACTTGAACTTGAAGGATGCCTCCGCCAACCGATCCACGAAGAGCCGCTTGCTGCACACCTGGCAATGCGCCTTCCGACCACCTCCGCCGCCTCCCTGGACTCCACGACGCCAGGGCCAAGTCTGGATCCACGGCTGCCGCGAGCAGGAGGAGGCTCCATGGCTGAGATATGAAATGGCGCTCGCGAGCCGAAAGCACTGGCGACTGGCTGCGGACTAGCAGCTTCCCTTTTGGCACGGAGGCGCGGAGCCCCCGAAGCACACTCATCTTGAGCCAAAATGGCTACGGATGATGATGCTGATGATGATGATGACCATGACGACGACGACGACGACGATGATGATGATGATGATGATGATGATGATGATGCTGCTGATGATGATGATGATGATGATGATGATGATGATGGTGATGACGATTGATGCTGCTGCTGATGTTGATGATGATCATGCTGATGCTGCTGATGATGATGATGGTGATGCTGGTGGTGGTGGCGGTGGTGATGGTAATGCTGATTGTGATGATGATGGTGCTGATGAGGATGATGCTGTTCATGATGATGATGATGATGATGATGATGATGCTGACCATGATGATGATGATGCTGCTGATGATGATGATGGTGATGATGATGATGGTGCTGATGCTGATGCTGATGCTGCTGATGCTGATGATGATGCTGATGATGCTGATGATCATGCTGCTGCTGATGATGATGAGGACGGGGAGGAGGGGGGGTGATGATGATGATGATGATGATGCTGATGATGATGATGATGATGATGATGATGATGATGATGATGATGATGATGATGATGATGATGATGATGATGATGATGATGATAAGGAGGATGATGATGACGATGACGATGATGATGATGCTGATGCTGCTGATGATGACCATGATACTGATGATGCTGATGATGATGATGCTGACGATGATGATGATGTTGATGGTGATGCTGCTGACGATGATGATGGTGGTTGCGATGATGATGATGACGATGATGATGATGATGATGATGATGATGATGATGATGATGATGGTGGTGGTGATGATGATGATGCTGATAATGCTGCTGATGATGATGATGATGGTGATACTGATGGTGATGGTGTTGGTGCTGATGCTGATGATGACGATGACGACGACGACGACGATGATGATCATGATGATGCTGATGATCAGGATTATGCTGATGATGACGATGATGCTGATGCTGATGATTCTGATGATGGTGATGATGGTGATGATGGTGATGATGGTGGTGATGGTGGTGATGATGATGATGATGATGATGATGATGATGATGATGATGATGATGATGATGATGATGATGATCCACGCGTTTTCACGCTCAGGGGCCCACGTGCTTTCACGCCTGTTCCGCTCTGGAGCGAACGGGGCCCTCCGCTCTGACCTCTGTCGCCCTCCTGCGCCCTTCCGCTGCTTCTCCTCTCTCCCCCACCTCCTCCTCCTCCTTTCTCCTCCGCTGCGCCTCCTCCTTCTCCTCCTCTTCCTCCTCCTCCTCCTACTACTCCTCCTCCCCCTCCTCCTTGTTCCCTCCCTCTCGCCCGTCTCCCTCGTCTTCGTTTTCGTCTTGGGGCCTTCCCCGGCGCAGCCGGGACGACCTTGTCCTGTGCCCCATCGGCTTGTTCGCCCCGTTTCCTGGTGCAAGTTTTCGTGTGCCGGCCGCGTGGCTGGTGGAGTGTGCCCTGGACTCGGGCGCGACGTCTGCCTGTGCTTCCTCGGGAATGCTCTAGGCGGGGCGCGGTTGTCCCCGGGACCCTTGGTTTGCCTTTGGGGGTGGCACGTTTCGTTCGTACCTGATGGCGAAACAGTCTGGTTCCCGTCCCCGCCAGTCAACCTTCAATTCTGCCGTCACTTGTCGCTGGAAGGGGCGAAGAATTCCCGACGGGCCTTCCGCCAACGAAGACGGCCCAAGGGTGGGGTGGGATCCGCACCTCCAACTCAAGGCACATGTGTCACCTCCAAGTCAAGCTCCAAAGGAAACCTACCATACTTCTCCTTCAACATCGCCGGCGGTGACGGGGAGGTCGCGCTGGCACTTGCATGCGAGATCTCCCGCGCGGGCGGGTCCGAGTTCAGCCGACGGCTGAACTCGGCCTCGGCTGAACTCGGACCCAGAAACTCGGACCCGGCCGAACTCGGACCCGGCTGATCTCGAATCCGCTGAATTCGGACCCGGCTGAACTCGGACCTGGCTGAACTCAAGTTCAGCTGAATTCGGACCCGGCTGATCTCGGGCCCGGCTGATTTCGGACCCCGCTGAACGCGGACCCCGCTGCAGCGCGGGCGTCGGTCTGAGTTCAGTTGGGTCCGAGATCAGCTGGGTCCGAGATCAGCTGGGTCCGAGGCCAGCTGGGTCCGAGGTCAGCTGGCTCCGAAATCAGCTGTGTGCGAGCTTTCTGGGCCTGGGTCTTGGGTCCGAGCTCAGCCTGGGTCCGAGTTCAGCCAGGGTCCGAGGTCAGCCGGGTCCGAGTTCGGCTGGTGTCCTTGGGTTAAGTCGGGCCTGTCCCTCTACAGGAGGAATATTCAAAAATAATCGAAATATAATATGGGTACGATTTTTTCAGTATTTTTTGGTCATATGGGGGTATTTTTTGAATCTTTTTTAGTTTTCGTCCAAAAATTCTCCTGTAGGGGGACAGGCCCGACTTAATCCTTAGGGCCTTCGAAGGACCAGAGCCGCCCTTGAGGGCGTCGTCGCCGTCGTCGGTCGTCGTCGCTCTTCATCTGGACGGCGTCAGGAGAAGAAAAAACATACAGACACACTTATTCGTCGACTCCCAGGAAAATATAGGAAAATATGGGAAGTGGGGGGAAGACCAAAACCTAGAAACTATGGGAAAATGTGGTGAATCCTGTTATTAGTGTCTATTTTTTGAATCGCTTCGCTCATTCCGCCGGCCCATTTCGCATGACTGAGCCTCTTGGGGCCGCTGGGGGGCCTCTTCAGCGTCGCTTGGGGGCCTCCTGAGGGCCTCTTGGGGGCTTTTGGGGCCTCTCAGGGGCCTCTTGAGGCCTCCTGGGGGCTTCTTAAGGCCGAGGGCTCGAAGTTTTGTTTTGTGTTCCCCCTTTGGGGCATCGCTTGGGGCCCTCTTGGGCCCCTCTTGGGCCGTCTTGGATGCCTCTGGGGCCGTCTTGGAGCCCTCTTGGGCCATCTTGGGGCCTTCTTGGGAGCTTCTTGGGCCCTCTTGGGGCGATCTTGGGGGCCTCTTGGGCCGTCTTGGGGCGTCGGGAAGCCGAAAAGATGGACACGCCAAAATCTGCCCAAAACCTAAGGAAAAGTAATGAATTTTGCCTCTTGGGGCCCTCTGGGGAGTGCTCTTGGAGGCCTCTTGGGGCGTCTGGGGGCCATCTTGGGCGTCTTGGAACGATCGTGTGGCATCTCGGAGCGCTCTTGAACCATCTTGGAGGGCTCTTGGCGGCCTCGTGGCCCTTCTTGGGGCTCTCTGGAGGCTCCTCCTGAGACCCTCTCTTGGGGTGAATTCGTTGGTAAATCTTGGAGCTATCCTGGACCCATTTGGGCTCCCCCTCGAGCGTTTTCGGGCTCCTCCTGAAACCGTGTTGGGCTGAATTCGTTCAAAAATCTTGGAGCTATCTTGGACCCGTGTGGGCTCCTCCTGGAGCGTTTTCGGGGTCCTCCTGAAACCCTCTCTTGGGGTGGATTCGTTGGTGAATCTTGGAGCTATCCTGGACCCATTTGGGCTCCCCCTCGAGCGTTTTCGGGCTCCTCCTGAAACCTTCTTGGGCTGAATTCGTTCAAAAATCTTGGAGCTATCTTGGACCCGTGTGGGCTCCTCCTGGAGCGTTTTCGGGCTCCTTCTGAAACCTTCTTCGGCTGAATTCGTTCAAAAATCTTGGAGCTATCTTGGACCCGTGTGGGCTCCTCCTGGAGTGTTTTCGGGCTCCTCCTGAAACCTTCTCTTGGGGTGAATTCGTTGGTAATTCTTGGAGCTATCCTGGACCCATGTGGGCTCCCCCTCGAGCGTTTTCGGGCTCCTCCTAAAACCTTCTGGGGCTGAATTCGTTCAAAAATCTTGGAGCTATCTTGAACCCGTGTGGGCTCCTCCTGGAGCGTTTTCGGGCTCCTCCTGAAACCCTCTTGGGCTGCATTTGTTGGAAAACGCATAGGACAACATGTATTCTCGCTTATGGGGGCTTTCTCGGGAGGCTTCTGGGTGGCCGCTAGGGGAGTCTTGACAGCGTCGTGGCTCGTGTGGAAGCCTGTTGCCTATGGGGTCTCTTTCGGGAGGCCTCTTGGTGGCCTCGTGGGGACTCTTAAACGCGTCGGGTAGTTGGCATTTGCTTGCGTGCTGGAGGGGGCATTTGGGGAGCCTCTTGGGGCCGCTGGGGGGCCTCTTCAGCGTCGCTTGGGGGCCTCCCGAGGGCCTCTTGGGGCCTTTTGGGGCCTCTCAGGGGCTTCTTGAGGCCTTCTGGGGGCTTCTTAAGGCCGAGGGCTCGAAGTTTTGTTTTGTGTTCCCTCTTTGGGGCATCGCTTGGGGCCCTCTGGGGCCCCTCTTGGGCCGAAAAGATGGACACGCCCAAATCTGGCCAAAACCTAGGGAAAAGTAATGCATTTTGCCTCTTGGGGCACTCTGGGGAGTGCTCTTGGAGGCCTCTTGGGGCGTCTGGGGGCCATCTTGGCCGTCTTGGAACGGTCGTGTGGCATCTCGGAGCACTCTTGAACCATCTTGGAGGGCTCTTGGCGGCCTCGTGGCCCTTCTTGGGGCTCTCTGGAGGGCCACGGGGGCGGCGCCCAGGAGGAAAACCATCTCTGACCCGACCCTGCCGGGGATCGCCCAGGGTACTTATCGTCCGGGGACCCCCATGGGCCGCCCCGCGCGCGCGAAGTAGAAGTATCATTTAGCAGTTACCGGAGATCTTAGCACGCCTCTGGCCCGTTGGGCCGGCGAATTTGCGTGTCCCAGGGCCCCTTCACGGCGGCCGCCCCGAGGTCGTGGCCTCGCAGGACGCGCGCTTCGCCAAGCAGCTGTCGGCGCGCCCAGCCGCCCCGCCGGGGTGTCGAGGCTCCGGGCGCCGAGGCTCGAGGCGCCGAGGTTCGAAGCTCGAGGCTGCTGCAGAACACGCAGGCACAATTCAGAATTCATCGTCGATTCCCCAGAAAATATGGGAAAACACGGGAATTGGGGGGGAAGACAAAGACCCAGAAGATGTGGGGAACTCTGGGGACTCCTGTCATTTGTGTGTATTTGTCCTTGTGTGTCCCAGGGTCCCTTCACTCGAAGCTTGAGGCTGCTGGGCGTCTTCGCTGGTCCCAGGATGCTTTCCCGCCTCGGGATGCGTTCCAGCAGCTGCGCCTCGCCGATGAGCGTCTCGGGGTCGCCCGGATCGTGCGTCTCGCACCGTCGCCGGAGGCCGGAGTGATGACCCGAAGACCAGACGGCGAGGATCACCTGGAGTGTCCGCGGTTCGGTCGGTTCGGCAGCATCGCAGTCGGCTGCGTTCGGTCGGTTCCTGCGTCGCTGCCGCGTCGGTGCGGGTCTCTGGGCTGCTGGCGGCCCGTCGAGTTTCGGTCGGTTTCGGCTTGGTGGTCGGTTCGGTCGGTTTTTGGATGTGCAGTCGCAGCGGTCGGCCATGCCTTTCCACCAGAGCAGATCCGCAACGACCGCCTCGGAGTCGTGCCCTGGGGCCTCGAGGCACTTCAAGGTCGCTCCTCGACGGCCCCCCCGAGCACGCAAGAGGGCCCCAGAGGAGGCTCCAGGAGGGGCCCAAAGGAGGAGCTCGCAGGCCCCCGCTGGACCACAAGCAAGCCCCCGAGGCGGAGGGTCCTGCCCTGTCGCGGGTGACGCAGTTTGTGGACGACCCAGTCTTGGGAGCCTCGCCCTGAAAGCTGGGCGTTGCAGTTTTCCCTCGCCAGGAGCTTTCGCCAGGTTTCGGGCCCCAGGATCCTCACAGATCGATCGGCTCACAGGCTGCCTGCGATGCCTGGTCGGACCAAAGATCCGACCAGAGTGCAGGGGTGCAGCGCCGCCCCCATCATCCAGGAGTTTATGCTGCGACAGCGTCCCGCCTGGGGCCCTCAAGTCTGGGCGGCGCAGAAGAAGGGCGCCCCGCACGCCCTTTGGTTTCTCGAGCAGGGGATGTGTTTTTTATCCCAAAATTGACTTGTTCGTCGAATCCATGAGAGAGGCGTATAATGTTCGTAGATCTACGAGCATTCTACGTATGACTCGACGAGAAAATCAATTTTGGGGTAAGTCAATTCTGTAGTCGATCCCCTACTCGGGTTCCTGGGATGCCCGAGCGGTGTGGTGACCACACTGCGTGGTGAGTCAGTGTGGATCTGGGGTCACCGCGCGGTTTTCGGGGTTCGGGTCGTTCTTCGAGGGCGTCTCGGGCGATCGGCCTCTCCGAGGTCCCAAGGCCGTGTGGTGACGGACCGCGCGTGGAGGTCTCTTGGGATTTCGAGGTCACCAGGTGGTCCGTCACGATATGGTTTTGGGACGGGAACCATATTGTTTCGCCACCAGGTACGAACGAAACGTGCCACCCTCAAAGGCAAACCAAGGGTCCTGGGGACCACCGCGCCCCGCCGAGACCATTCCCGAGGAAACACAGGCAGACGTCGCGCCCGAGTCCAGGGCACACTCCACCAGCCGCGCGGCCCGGGACACGAGATATGCAACGCAGTCCCTTGCGATTTCCTCCCCCCCCCCTCCGCGCGGGAAACGGGGCGAACAAGCCGACGGGGCACAGGACAAGGTCGCCCCGGCTGCGCCGGGGAAGGCCCCAGGACGAAGGCGAGGACGAGGGAGACGGGCGAGAGGGAGGGAGCAAGGAGGAGGGGAGGGAGGAGGAGCAGCGGAGGGGCGCAGCAGGGCGAGGGAGGCCAGGGCGGAACAGGCGCGAAGACACGTGAATTCTTGTCGCGCCAGAGCGGACGAAGCGTGAAGACAAGCGCGACAAAAGAGCGGACAAGCGGGAAGTGCCTTCGGCCTCACAGCGGGACAAGCGCGACAAAAGAGCGGACCCCCTTGAAATGCTTGGCATCCGAACAACACACCTTCGCCTCTAGAGAACACCCCATGGTCGCCGCGAGAGGAGGACTATGACGAAGACGACGAGCATCACGATGACATCGATGATTCTTGTTTGCCAAAGTGCGGCCAAGGACTTGAGAAACAGTACAGCAATTCACACCGTCATGAACGAGCGCGAAGGCAACGTCATGAACGGAATCCGCCACCGTGCCCACCGGCACGTAGAGGAATGGTATACTGCCATGGCTGATTTGCAGGTTTTTTGTAGCTGTCCAACGCCCCCTTCCTCCCCCTGCCAGCAAAGTCTGTGCATCCCCCCATGTCATCCTCTGAAGGCTTCTTGGGCGCGCAGACGCCTTCTGGCGCTCCCCAAAGCCTCCCAGATGGTCAAAATGTCTTCCAAGACGGCTCAGGAAGAACACGGGGTTTCCTTGGACTGGCTTTAGGGCTGTGTTTCCGCTGTCTCGGGAGGGTCTTTGGCCCCAATGGCGCCGTCCAGGGTTGCAAGAGCGTTTCCATGACACGCAGGTCGGGGCTTGCGGGTTCGTCGGGAAGTCGCTGAACAGCATTGGAGCATTGACCGGCTTTCAGATGAAATGTCGGTGCATTTGTTTTCTGGTCTTAGGATGCCGTGGCGTGTTCTTGGACTGGCTTGGGGCTGTTTGAGAAAGTGGGGTTCGCAGAAATTGTATAAACTCCTAGTCCTTCCCTTGATAAGCTCACAGGTGCACGCGTGGACGTACACACAGATGGCACGCACATGAACTGAATAAGTAACACAATCGCGGACCGAGCAGAGACGTACTACGGACAAGTATGAACACTGACGCATTGAATGTGATGCCATGCAAACAAATTCGAGGATTGAAAACATGCAATGCGTCCGAACGGCAGCGCGATTCAACGCACTATCGTGGAAATGATACGCAATGGCCGCGCAACGCAGTGCAACTCAACGCAAATCATTTCAAGGAGACGTAGAACTCTAATGACATGCAAAGCAACGCAGTGCACATCCAAAATATGGAGCGGTTTTGAGGTCGGTACGTGCGATCGTTGAACTGTCGTATGCCAATCGGGTCTTGTCTAGACGCTCATTGCCAGGGTGTTGAGTGGCGTCGGCCATGTGGGAATTCTCTTGGGGCCCTCTCGTAGTTGATTCGGGGCTGTCTTGGGGTGTGTGGCGGTTCATTTCGAGCCCCAGACAGTCTGTTTCCAGGGAAGGTGTGGAGACCTCCAAGGGCCGATGCATCGATTTGTGCACACCGTGCTGCGACAAGTATGCGGCTGGCTCTGCAGGCCTGAGGACGGCACGGTGGCCAGCGTCGCCCTCTCTTGGAACATTAATTTGGCTTCTGCGGACTTCGAGCTTCCTTTTTCAAGCCACTGCCCCCTCTCGTCCACAGCTCTGGAGGCCTAGTGTTGGGCTAGTAACACTGTCTACCGAGGCTTACAAACGAGTGCAAAACATCGGCGCAATCGATGATCGATCGGAGCCCTTGAAATGCACAAGGCGGGACCGAAACCCGAGACACTGAGCCCCAGCGAGACGCCTCGATCCCAACCTCGCGCACCCCATCCTCTGAGGGGGTGGCACTGCGAGGTCGGCCCCCCAAGCCCCTCTAGGCCCAGGAGGGCCGCAGGCCACAACAAGAGCCCACGGGAACCCCCAGCAAAACCGCTATGTGCCACCCCCTCTAGATGAGCGAAAAAATTGACTCAAAAAAGTTTGATTGCAGCTACTGCTCCTAGAGCCCTCCCTCCTCCTCCTCAGTGCTTCTGGCGCTTGCTGCCCTTGCCCTTGGTCTTGCCCTGCTTGCCCGCCTTGAACGCGAGCCGCTCGACGGTCTTCGCCGCCTTGCTCCGCGGCGCCGTGTCGCGCTCCAGCAGCAGTCCTGCTGCGAGGGCGCCTCCGTTGTCCCGCAACTGCATGAATGCCTGCTGGAGCTCCGGGTGGTGGCAGGTTGCGAAGATCCACTTCTTCACCTCGTGATTCGCGGTGTCCTGCGTCGTCACCATGAAGCACCTGGTGGCGTGGAAGATCTTCGTCGTGTCCTGGACCCTGGTGCTCCACTCCGCGATGCACTTCACGGCCTGCTTCGTCGCACCAGGGTCGGGCCCCTGCTGGATCGCCGCCTCCACCGCGGCCTCGTTGGCTTGCAGTGCTTCTGTTATGCGGTACAACACCATCTTCATCTGTGCGTCGGGGCGCTTGCCCCATGGGTGGCCCTTGAACTCGTCCTCCTTCTCCCTTTCCTTCTTGCCCACGGCATTGTACTCGTCTACTCCCGCTTCCAAGGCCATCTGGACTTTGGAGTCGGCGCGATTGGTGAGCACGATGTTCACGTCCCTGCTCTGGTTGCGAAGGTTGTCCTCGTGTTGCAACACCAGCTGGGCCATCGCCATCGTCAACTGTGGGAGCACCGCCGCGGCCGCGCCTGCCTCGGGCTCCTCTGCCGCTCCTGCCGCGGCCCCGCCCACCGGCTCGGCGGGCCTCTTGGCCCGAATCTCCGCCAGCGGGGTGAACATCACTCCGGCCCTCTGCTGCTGGGACTGGCGGGGGGGCTGGATGGGCGTCTGGAGCCGCAGATGCCTGCAGCATAGGGCATCTCTTAGCACTGATGTGTCGTTGGAGCGTATCCTTTCTGGTGAAAACCTGTTGGCAATACGGGCATGTCTTATTTTCCAAACAATCTGGAGGAAGATCAAGTCGATTAGCGACTATCCCATGGGCTTGACGTCTGTGGCTATCGAGGCCCTTCGGGTCCCTGCACGAGTGACCGCACTCTGGACACTGAAGCATCTCATACTGCGTTCCATCGGCCCGCTCCCCTCCAGCAGGCTTGGGGTCGCTCGTGGCCTGGAAAGACAACACCAATCGAAGGTCAGCCAAGGATAGTTCACAGAACCACCGAAGCCAAGGTTTAGACACTTCAGGTTCGGGTCCAGGGGCACCTTCCCGAATACCAGCTGAGAGCGACGACCAAAGCGACGT